AAATGGTTATGGAACTTTACATGAATGTTTAATGATAAAGTTTCAACCTTATGTATTATGGTTTTTTGGAACTGGACCTTACAAATAATGGGTTGTTAAGAACCAGTAAGGTCCACGAATGGTTTTGTAACATCGATCAACTTTATGTGGAATATATCGCGAATTGGTTGCCTGTAATTTACTGATTACCAATTCACGATATATTCCACGTAAAGTTGAGCGATAATACAAAACCATTAATGGACCTTACTGACTACCATAACCATTACCATTAATGTTCTCAAATCATAAGTAAAAACGTTCTTCTATAGTTCTCTTTCTGAAAATGTATGGAGAAAACAAGAATTTGGAATGGTAATGGTTCTTAACAACCCATTATTTGTAAGTCCAGTTCCAATAAACCATAATACATAAGGTTGAAACTTTATCATTAAACGTTCATGTAAAGTTCCATAACCATTTCAGTTAAAGTTTAGCAGGGATTATAAACAATTTTTAACCATTTTAGGTAAGGTCAATTTATGGTTCGCGTTTATGCGGGTCGTCTGTGAATCGGTAGACATCCCGAAAATCGGTAGGACTCTAGGACTACCGATAAATAGGTAGGTCTGGCTACCCTGTTGACGGGATCTATTTTTTGCTACATGGGTTTATACACGCAGAAACTTTCCCTGATGCCGTGATGCATTGGAGCCATTCAAATATTACGTAACACAAGAGGGCACAGAGAAAAACACCCCTATTCTGTATTTCGTTTCGAACGAAATTCTCATACAAAAAAATATTTTTTTGTATGAGAATTTCGTTCGAAACGAAATACAGAATAGGGGTGAAAAACTCACCCTAAATTTAAGTTCTTACTTAATTTTGAGTTTTGCATCCCACTCTCACTTTTTGTTGTTGTCAAAAACGGAACGAGAGATTCGACTTTCTCATGACTATCGTTCAATAAGCTACTGGTGAGTATATGAGATATTCTCAAACTTGAGTCAATTGAACTTAATTTTGGGTAGAAAATACTCACGAGTAAGTAATTATTTTTGCCGTAGTCAAATGTAAACTATACTATAAGCGGTTTACTGAAAATTAGCTTATTGAACGGAACATGGGAGATGAGTGAAAAGAACTTAATTTTGGGTAATTTTTCGGTTCCGTGGGGGTAGTCTGGAAATGAGTTATGGTGGTACACAGAAAAAAAGTTGTTGAATTTTACATCCAAACAGCTGCACAGAGATCATTCCGGTTGTGTAATATTACGTTGTAGGATGTACATCGATTTTGCAAACAAAATTACATCCACTGATGTAATATCCCTAGTAAACATAACCATAAAAGAGAGTATAATGAGAGAGACAGAAGGATTAGTAATTTCCATTTAATTCCACTACCTTATTTGCTTATCCTTGACAAATACGCGTATTTCATCTACAATGTGCAGACTTCTTCAATGTCTTGTAATAATACTCGACTGTCGAGTCGAGTATTAGTACAAGACACTGAAGAAGTCTGCACATTGTAGATGAAATACGCGTATCTGTCAAGGATAAGCAAATAAGGTAGTAGAATTAAATGGAAATTACTAATCCTTCTCTCTCTCTCTCTCATTATACAGGTATTCCACTAAAACGCCCACATTCATCAGGATTTATAAAACAGAGCTTAACGACGTGTTCGGGGTATCATCCAAACCATTTGTGGGATACAGTTCGTTTATGGTATTTGTTTATTAGGGATTGTATCTGCTTTTTGCTATTTTTTTTGGCTATCAAGCTGGAGCTGCGTGATAGCTTAATTTTCAAGACTTGACCCATTTGAATAAATTTTGCTTCTATCTTTGACAATACAGCAGAAGGACTAGCCTATGTTGGCCGCTTGAACACTGAATTCCGTATGTATTGTTTCAAGATAGTTATAGAAAAAATGCTGTGATGTGTGCGCGTAGATACATCCGCGTAGTAAACCGATTGAATAAGTAAATCCGTTTCGAACGAAATATCTAAATTATGTAAGTTACGAAAACCGCGCGAATTCCGAAAGCCGTGCGAGACAACCGAAGCGAGAAAAAAAGGCTTATTATCATTTAAAGAGTGCCACCAAAATAAAAGTGATAGCCTATGTTGGCAAGTTGATTAATTTTGGTTTCCTCCCTAAATATTCTACTTATTTTACTGTTGAGCTTTGTTTCAATTTAGTTATTTTACCGCACGTATCAATCATTTCAAGATTTCGCGATCGTACCGAACAAATTCTATACTACAGAAGCTAGAAAGCGTTTGACAAGCTCTACCGAATTGCGTATCACTTCTGCGTAAGCTCCGTAGACATAGGCGCGTTAAATCCGACAGTCGGCAAAGGTTTAACCTGTACCAACACCGCTTAAGGAACGACCTCGAGTCAGTAAAACCGTTTAGAGCTACACATCTAAATTACGTAAGATACGAATATCGCGCAAATTGTGAACGCCACGCGAAACAACCGTAGAGAAAAAAAAACAACTTATTATCACTTAAAGAGTGCCACCAAAATAAATGTGATAGCCTATGTTGGCAAGTTGATTCATTTTGGTTTCCTCCCTAAATATTCTACTTATTTTACTGTTGAGCTTTGTTTCAATTTAGTTATTTTACCGCACGTATCAATCATTTCAAGATTTCGCGACCGTACCGAACAAATTCTATACTACAGAAGCTCAAAAAAAAAACTCTACCGCATTGCGAATTACTTCTGCATAAGCTCCGTAGACGTAGGCGCGTTGATTCCGACAGCCGCGAAAAGTTAAACATGCATCAATACCACATAAGGAAAGATCGATTTTACGTATGGTTTAGTTCATAGATTAACATTGACTGCTGTTTACAAATGTAAGTACTTGAACACTAAGAAATAAGTTAACTCAAATGCTTTAACCGCATATATAAGAGATTTCGCGTATTGAGAGAATTATATAGTAATCGAGTACAACAAACTCAGGGGAATACAATACCTCCAAAAGTTTAAAAGCTATTAATTGTCACATACCTTTACTTTTACTTATTTCCTAAACTATTCCTCTCCTTGTTAATCTGCTTAATAGTATTGGTCTGCCTGCGTTTTCTTGTTAATGTTCAAACCTAAATAAGAAGATTTATTCTACAACTTTAAAGGTTAGTTGCCTCCTAAGCGGACCCCCCGCATCCTAATTCTTTTGTTAATCTACTTAATGTCATTAGACTTTCTGAAGTTTCTTATTTTAGTTCATTTGATGATTATGATATCTCATTAGTCTAATTTAATAAATTATTAAAAGCTCTAATTCACCTAATCAAGCATAACCCATGCTTTATTAAGTACCTGCACTTGTGCTTGTAATCTAAAATTAAACGTGTTTCAAGTACTTTTGATTTTGACCTATACCTATTTATTATATCTTAGTTCGACCCAGGCAACACCTTCATGTGACTAAAATGCTTCCTTTTGAAGTTAGTTTCCTAGCTGATTTTTAAATTATATAGGGTATATGCTCCAATTACGCTCTCACGTTTCCACTATGTTGCACCACAAAAATACATATGGGTATGTCACAATAGAAGCACACCACAGTGGAAATCTCGAGCCACAGTTCAAACACTTATCCCAAATCAAAATGAAGCACATATAAGATTAGTTACAATACCATGTACACAAATGGTGTTTAACGTCGTTTCCTGAGTAATACTTTAAAGAAAACAACAATGAAAGCTTGTCACGCAAATAGAAGGATCACTGTTGGGCACTTACTGAAATACTTCAATAGTACAATTCCCTTGCAAACCCAAATAAATCTATCTGCGTAGAAATAAATAAAATAAGAGTGATTTGCGGCAAAACCCACCAGTATCACACCCAACGTCAGTGCCTATATGTAAGCGTACTACGACGCGGCTCTCAATTTAAGGAGTAACAAGTGTGATACTATCACTGCTAGACTAGATCTTTGGTTCTCTCATGCAGTGGTTTATCAGAGAGGGGGAGCTTAGTAATCCCCATTGCCTGCCCATGACGCCATTCTATCGCGGCATGAGCCCGCAACGCCGGCCATTAACCTACCGTCTCCAATACTCCACTATAAAGCATGAAATTAAGCCCGCCCACCAACAGCAAGGTGCAAAAACTAGCCAAGGGGAGGGCTTGTATCTGCTTTTTGCTATTACATCATTATTTCATACATCAACAAGTTGTCACTTCACCGTGAAGTGACATCGGTAATAAGGGCCAACATCTCTGATCACGCCTTCCTTCGGAAAGGAAGTAAAGCCGGTTCATGAATCGATAGGTAGGGTGAGTAGGAGTGGGAGCTGCCTCCCTGGCGTCGGTAGCATTACAACTGACTTGCCCTGTCTTTATCCAGCTTTAGAAAAAAAAACAATTATAATCAATGTCCGGTGTCTCGCTTGCTTGCTTCATACTGATTTTTGTTTTTTTTCCTTGATTTGTTTTCCGTGCTGAACGCCAGGGAGGATTCTCCTGGATTCATTCTTTACAAAATTTAAGTAGATGTCGAGTCAAAAACTGGAGCAATAGTTCCATAACTTGCACACTTACCCTAGTCGAATAAAATAAAAAGCAAGGTGACTACATATAGGTGTTCTAATGTGTCAAATTCATGATTCAGCCATGTTGGATATTTGTATGGGACAGCGACCGAGTTTGTTTAGAATTTGCTCTAAAACTGCTCTTTTCCCCCGCAACCTCCTCGCCTATATAGTGACAAAGCTGTATCACCATTTATATACCTACCATGATAAAAAGCACATTTATTGATAGAGCTGGAATTAGGGCGTAACAGCTTTTGTAAACAATGACTTCTTTCGATGATTTCTAGAAAGTCTAGTCAACGCAAATCAACATCACCATCGGGTAGAGGAAGACTTCTTATGTTATGTTGGTTTGCATGGGCGTGCCTTGAATTCCTATAAATCATCGAAAGAAGTCATTGTTTACAAAAGCTGTTACGCCCTAATTCCAGCTCTATCTAGAATTTGTCAAGTTATATACTTTATTTCAAGGCTTTTCGTTAAGCTTTCGTGGATTTTTGAATCTAAGAGGTAGCTTAAGTTAGCGTCTGTAAGATACTTTTCGGCCTTGTCGGCACTGAAATCGTTTGGACTGAGGGACAACTCGTGCCAAAGCATTACGGTGGCATCCTTACCGTATACAGCTTCATACTGGAGCAGGAGTTGCGTAACCATGCTAGCACCATATTTGGGCAGAATCTCCTTGGCAGCATTCAACACGTCGACCAGATTGATGCAGCGCTTGTTCAGTAACATCACGTAGAACGTGGCAACATACCGGTACAGCTGAGGTAGATCGATGAGCAGATCGTCGGCTAGTTTAAATAACTGCTCCAGGGCATGCAGGTAGTCGGTCTTGACGATGAGCTTCATCTCGAACATTACCGCAATTACTTTAACGACGATTTCACGAGACTTGACATCCCGTTCAATGTTATCGATTAACAGTTGACTAATGGCGGCGTGGTAGTACTCGGCTGGGATATTGAGATCTTTGAGCATCGCGGCACCTGCCTCGATGTCTGATTGATCCATTTCGATGTTAACAGACTTTACAATCTTCTGTATCTTGATTTCAGTTTCCCTATCGGGAAGCGGAAAGTTTTGCCGGACTGCAACACTCTTTGGCATTGCAAACGGTGGCATACAGGGTGGACCCATTCTACCCGCTGGCGGCGAACCTAACGATAGTGGAATATATCGTTGTTCTGACGACCGGCCGTGGATAGTTGATTGTTGCTGCTGAACAATGCGGTCATGCATTTGGTCATTGCTGGGCCGGGAATTCTTGGTTGGTGTAATTCTAACCGACGACGATAGTTCTCGTGATGAACGGAACGCCCGCTCATCATTTTGCCTTCCACTACTGTCGTACTGATTATACCGGTTGTGTTCCATCATCGTTCCCTTGTGGTAGGAATCTCCGCACACGATATTCCCGTTACGATACCGGTCACGATGTTTTCTATTCCCATATCCATCAGTCCTACTGTCATCTTTGTTCAATGGAGCAAACATGCTACTATTGTTCTTCCAGCCCTGGTAGCTAGCCGCTGATCCGAGCCGGGTTGTTTCCAGATTGCTAGGAATATTGAATCTGTTGGGATCCATTTGTAATTGCGAGCGATTTTTAGGAACAACCGCATCGGGGCTTCTGAGTCTTCCTTGGTCATACACACCGCTGAAAACCGTTGAAACGGCCTTCCGAAAACCGCCTTGCATGTTACTACCTCCTCTGTGACCCACGTCACCGCCACCACCCCGAGAGGGACGATAGTTAGTAGTGTTCAGAGTTTGGTCTTTTTGGGCTTCGTCCTGTATTTCATCTATTGTTTTGGGCTTGAGCTCTTGCCGTCTGGGTTTCCATCCGTTGCAACGCAAATCGATTACATCTTGAATCATGAAACGAATCCTACTGCTAATACGGTATCTATCTTTATCCCGAACAATTTGATCCATCTTCTGGAAATATGAGCTCAAGTCTTGGTGGTTCTCATTTTCAATTTTGGAACCGATTGTAGTCAACAGCTTACATAGGCATTCTAGCGTCTCTTCGTTGTAGCCCCTGGCGTCCTCAGCGAGAAGCAGCTTGATGCAGATGTGCATGATGTTGGATGTTAGCTGACCTGCCTTGTAGAGTTCTCCAATGAACCGTATTGTTCCCACCGCTCTACGCCGCACTTTTTGCTCTTCTTCCTCAAGTTTGGTCTTCAGATCATCGAATTTTTCCTTGTCCAGATTCCTGTTCGCTTTCAGCTGGATTCTCAAGTTCCGCGTGGCACTGTTTTGATCGATGCGGCGTTGTTCAAACTCCGCCTGACACCGTGTTATCAGGCGGTTCTTGAAGCTGATAGGCTTCTGTTCGGACGAAATCACCACCACGGCCACCGTTCCTACTTCTTTGCACATCTTGGCGTAGGTTTCGGAAAATGTTGGCTCGGAGATGGCTTTCTCGAAGACCAGGTTTATGCACCCATTCAATCGCTCGTCGTTATTAATCACAAAGGTGTGCACCTGTTTGACCAGTTTAACGAAGTTTTCCGGTGTCAGTTTATTTAAAATCGAGCGAAACCTTTTGAAAAGTTCCTGTGTATTCCGTTCCTCTTCGTTCAGAACTTCATTATGCTGGAGGTGCCTCGGGCGCCACGCATTTTCGCATTTTGTCAGTTCCACTTCATTCAGCTGAAGGCGGACTATCTTTGCACCCTGCTGGGATGGTCTTATCTGGTTGGCCATATTGAAACCGCTACCTCCTCGATCGCCCATTCTCATAAAGGTTGGTAATAGGGACGCTTCGGTACGGTTCTTCTTGCCATAGCGGTTATCGCTACGCGTTATGTGTGCTGGGCCGTGGCTAGATCTACCCAGGACGATCTCCACACATTTGGACAGATTACTCATTTTTTTCAGGGAATGAGGGGAATTTTTGAGGTGCAGCAATTGAACGAATGAGTACTTCTTCTTGCCAGAAAGATTATGCGGACTCCATTGGTCCGGATTGTATTCGATGAGCGAGCGAGGCTTTTTGATTGGACCTAGCGTAGATTCCTGGACATTTGCTAACGGCGCAGGTGCTAGGATTGGTGCTTTCGTGGGCTGTTCTACCGCCTCTAGGGCGGGTTCCTTAGATAATACCTCGACAGTCACGACTGGCGTACTGATTACGAGTTGTTTCGGCGGCGTGGACTGTCCGGAATGGATTTGTTGTTGATCGTCGTTTTCCTTCGGCGAAACGGCGTTGTAATCTGTCGTAGTAATAGTAACAGTATTATTATCTTTATTTCTAGTAATCGTTATTATTATTATTATTAATAACAGGGCTGGTAGCGGTTGATGTTTACGAAAATAGTGAATGTAGTCACCTCAAGTTTAAAAATGTGACTTATAGAACAATGCGATTTCGATTTTCGTGCAATATTTCGCGAAAGTTCATTCTGCGGAATGATTTGTTTTGCAGTATATTATTCTACAGGAATCCCATTTGACGGATTAACCCTGAATTTATTATTTCTATTATAGTTCTTTTTTAACATGAACAGTCCTTCGTGTTTCCATGGATTTCTATTCTTTGGTACTTGTGAATGAAAATCAAAATGAATTTTTTTTCGCGGTATGATATATTTCACCAAATGGAGCTCTCCAAAATGTTGGCAATCAGCGAGGCATTATTTGCTTTTAGATTGATGCTATTTACGTCATTACAAAATTATCTTGAAAGAACATTTTTAGGGATCATTGCTTCCATTATAGGGCGCAGTACAACTTCGGCAAATTGGACCCTTTTCCCAACAATTAATACAAACAGCTGTTCATTACGTTGACAGTTTTTTGCGTCTACGTAGTTAATGAACAACCCCTTACATTATATATTCTTGCACAGACAAACAGACATAACTCTTGCTTTTCATTGAACATGAATTTAACGGCCAATTTAAATTGTTCTTAGTTGATAGTACCACCGCCTGTGGTACGCATAATAAATTTCCTTGCATTTAACGTTTACACACTACCGCCATCTGTTGAGTGTACTGCCCATGACAGTTTGCGGAACAGATCGCGGTTGATGGTATGATCAATATCATAATGATAGTGAAACTGTTAAACAGTTGATTTGTTTCATGCAGCTGAAGATCCAGAGCCAAAGTGCGGAATGCTCACTATTCCCCTTTTTCCCGTACCTACTTTTTTGTACTGTACTTTAAAACTAGAACGAATTGCAATGTTGGAGTCTGTTAAAATACATTCAACAGATAGCAAATGGGCACTCCCTCGGACCCTCATATTGAACAGATCACTGACCTGCTACCAGCCCGTAGATTGTCATTAATATTCAGACTACGGAGTCAGTAGATTCATTCTAGTCTGAAAATGACAGAACTTACCGGCAGTATCGATTAAATTCTGCTGTTCATCCAGTATCGTCGCTGTATCCGTTACTAAAACAGGAGCTTTGGTATCATCAGGCTCGTTCTCAACCCGTTTCTTTCGGTGCTTCTTCTTCTTCCTGTTCTTTCGACGGACGGCTACCTCCGGTTGTTCCTTCACGCTTAGCTTCTCCAAGCCGGTGGTCTTCACCTTCATATCCACTGGTCGTTCTTCAGCAGCTTCCATTCGTCCAGTCTGCACTTGGATCGCTTCAGGTGTTTTATGCGGAACTGTTTTTTTCTTATTTTGTGGCGACTGTTCTAGAGCCACTACCGCGGGGGAAGACACTACAACCGCCGCAGGTTGAGGAGCTTCCTCTATGTGCGACAGCGGGTGATTGCTACGGTCGCCGATGCAAACACAAGGTTCAGCAACAAACGATAGAGTTGACTCGGCGCTGGATATCTCCGAGATAGTATCTGTATCTTGTATATCCGGAGCATCACCGTCCATTCCGGTGTGAGGCTGCACAACCGGCTGCTTCTTCAGTTGTTGACAGGGTCTGACTTCGACCGACGGGCGATCGACATTGGCGGAAACGACAGGTGTTCCGATGGTAGTAATTTCCACAGCGGTAGCAGTTGGTGTCTCCGCCACTTCAGGCGTTTTAGGCGTAGTTGTTGCTGCTTGATGGGTAGGTTGAGGTTCTTGTGCTACAACCACGGGGGAAGGCACTACTACCCTCGGCGGTCGATGAACTTCCTCTACGTGCGGCAGAGGGCGACGGATGCTGGCGCCGGCATAGACGAATGGTTTAGCGTTGATCGATAAGGTTGACTTGGCAACAAATTTCTCCAAAGCATCACCGTTCATTTCGGTAAGAAGAGCCGTTGGAACGTTTGGAACCGACGGTGGAGGTACGGACTGTAGCCCTGCCGGCGATCGGGCCATATTGAACAGTTGTCTCTGGCCAGAATGTACGTGTGTTCGAGGAGAATTTTCCGGTGTTTCCTGGTGGGAATAGAACAAATAATTATCATATTCGGTTGCTTGGGCCAGTGAAATTTCAATTAAATTTCGAAGAATAATGCTATGGTTTGCTAGAGGTGGTGCTAAAATTCTGGCCGATAGTGAATCACTGTAAATATTTACAAGAAAATCTTCATGCGTGCCCGGATAGATAATTGGAATTGCTCGGGAACGACGATTTTTCTTTTGGTGAACTGTAGAAGCCAGAGCGGGTACCGGTGGAGCCGCCGGGTGATTACCAGGCATCAGCTGGGGCTGTAGCTGCTGAGCTCCATTGATTTGACCGGGATTCAGCTGGTGTTGGTCCATCGGCGGTATTTGGCCGGGCTTACCGATAACAGGAGCCCCAGATTGGAGCGTGTGATGGACCGGCGGTGGATGCATTTGATGCATCATAAGAAATGGCGATACGTTGGCCATAGTGCCCGGTGACATTGGAGCCTGCGGAATAATCGTTAGCGGATGGGGATGATTAGAGCTTCCATTAGGAGTTCTGAAATTGATAATGCTTACATGAATGTGTGGCGCAAAATACTGATGATAGGGAACCATTCCCGGTGACACCGGGCCATACTTAACCCAAGGGTTTACCGTTGGATCATATGGCCATGGAAAAAATGGCGGCGGCATCTTCTGATACATACCACCACATCGAAACAGATCTGGCTGATTCATTATAATGAATATTTTACAGTTAAGATGTTTAGGATATTACAAATTACAATTCATATAACACAACCGTTGTCAACGTCGAAAACTTAATTACGGAAGAGACTAATCAAAGGTGGTGATGTCGGCGAATGTAAATTTTTTTTTGATGTTTTGAAAAAGCTTAAAATGAACAAAATCGGTTACCATGGTATCATAGAAAATTCGGAGAGATTGATTTCCTCAACGTTGGCAATGCCTGTATCGGTTGGCTACGCTTCGTTAAGCTACGCAATGAATGCGGTCAAGTTACGCAAATTAACCACTTCATTCGAGCAGATAAAATGACGTTTACTACCACTCGAACTTTGAAATGAAACATTATTTTGAGATTTTTTCTTCTAGAACCTCGAAAAAAGTAACCAACATTTGTGCGTTTCACAAAAAAATAGAAATTAGTTGGTCCAGTTTTGTGAAATCGCTGGTAGAAAGTCACGCCAAAACTGCTTGACAAAGTGGTCAATTGACGAGTGCACGAATGGATTTGAGTTCACTCACTCGACAAAAAGTGACACAACAGCGGGGCCCTGTTTACTAAAAATGAACACATATGTGTTCATTTTTAGTAAACAGGGCCCCGCTGTTGTGTCACTTTTTGTCGAGTGAGTGAACTAAAATCCATCCGTGCACTCGTCAATTAGGTTCTGCAGCGTGACGTCACAAATGAACTCAGTGTTAATAGGCTGAACCTTTTTGACAGTTCAGTGGTACTGTTTACAAGCACTTAGTCGTTTTTTCGAAAAAAAATTTCTAAAGTTTCTGAATTTTAACTTGAAAATTGTCGAGGAACAGCGCGTTGCAAGGATGTTGCTCGTGAACATTGCAGAAATGCTGTTTACATCTCACTGCAGTCTGAAAAATTATCGAGAAAATCCACCCAAGAAAAAATCGACTAAGTCCACGTAAACAGTACCACTGAACTGTCATCAGATTGAGGTTAACCCCGACGGTGCAAAACCTAATTGGCTACACGCAAGATGCATTATTAGGATACACTGAACGAAAACATCCGCAATATTTCGAATGATTATTGCATTAGGTCGTACGAATAAAAGCGTTTACTTTACTTTTCCCGTAAGAAAAGCACGGGAAAAAGTAAACTCTTTTTATTCATACGACCCATTGTTTGAGACGTTTAATAATATGCTTTCGAATTTCAGATTATTACCTTATGGTTGAATTCGTCATCAGCTGATGGGCATCCAAATGACTGTCATCCAAATACAGGATGATATTGATTTGAAAATTTGCTGTACATCTTATACCTTGTACAGACATACAAAGTACACTGTTGTACTACCGTTGTATTTCTTTATACCTTGTACAGACATACAAAGTACACTGTTGTACTACCGTTGTATTTCTTTAAGCTTGTACCTCAAATTGTACCTTTTGAGGTACTCGATTAAAGGAGTACAACGGTACTGCTTTGTATGTCTGTCAATGGTATTACAGCGCTCATAGGACAACAATTTAAATGCTTTAAATTAGATATATTTTTCGATTGTTTGCATTTTCATATTGAATAGCCATGAACTGTAATTTCAACATGGATGTTTGCACCACGAAATAGACAATCTTCGGTTTCCACGCTTTATGGGGTGTTGACATCTATGCGGATTTGCTACCCGGATGAACGTGAACCATAACTTGATCTTACCGAAAATGGTTAAAAATTGTTTACACGGATAGAACTCTCCTTATACCTTTTGGCAAATTTCTATTGTTGATTATTCATAAAATGTATAAGTCAAGTAATAAGCAGAAGCCTTGCAAAAAGTTAATGAAGCTCATGTGTCAAATGAAATGTATAAGAAAAGGGCGAGAGGGCTAGGTCACACATACCTTTTATGCATTCTTGTAGGACCTATGTGGTTTGTCTTATGGAATGTGGCTGATGCTTTGGCAAAAATGTATAAGTGAAACACATGAATAAAATAATTGATTTTCGTTTCGTGTATAATCCCTGCTAAACTTTAACTGGAATGGTTATGGAACTTTACATGAACGTTTGTGTGATAAAGTTGTAACCTTATGTATTATGGTTCTTTGGAAGTGAACCTTACAAATAGTGGGTTGTTAAGAACCATTACCATTCAACATAGTTGTTTTCCTGAGAGAGGCAACCAATTCGCTATATATTCCACAAAAAGTTGATCGATGTTACAAAACCTTACCGACTACCATAACCATTACCATTAAAATTCTCAATCATAAATAAAATGGTTCCAATTTAATTCATTTTCCAAAAATGTGTGGAGAAAACAAGAATTTGGACAACATATTATTTGTAAGGTTCACTTCTAAAAAACCATAATACATAAGGTAAAAATTTTATCACACAAACGTTCATGTAAAGTTCCATAGCCATTTCATTTAAAGTTTATCAGGGATTATAAACAAGTTTTAACGATTTATGGTAAGTGTCGTGACGGCAGCCTTCAATGCACATCCAATCGGCTCCACTATCGTTAACAGAATGCTCGAAATTCATTAAAAGCTTTCCGTTGATGCGATGTGCGGGTCGACTTTCACGAGGTTCAAGTTCAGAGCTTTTTCTCTCTCTTTATTTCAACACGAACATAAAGCTCGATCGTATCCGTTATACGGTATTCGTTTTCCGCATATAACCGATTATCATTCAGTTTCGATCGTTTGTTTCGTTATCGTTAGGGGTGTATCCTAGGGTGTATCCACGTTTGAATAGCGCGTTCGTTGCACGTTCAAATAAATAGCATCATTTTATTCATAATATAACCTACATCTACTACATTATTCCCCTTGTCTACTCTCATGTCAGAAGCTGTCAGTTTCTTTGTTAATTAAAAGTAATTCTACACTATCTCATCAACCTTTCAAATAATAACCAAATGTATGAATCCGAAAGCAGCTGTTTTTAAATGTACACAACATTTTCAATTCTTCGAGATTCAGAATGTTATTCCATGCCTCGTACCATAAAATAGATAATATGTCATCAGAGCTTGCTCCTTCTTTTCCAAATAATTTAGATCAGTTATTCAATCTACTTATTTTCTTTGAATTATGATTTATATGTATGAACCATGTGGCTACAAACCCATACACACAAAGAACAAAAATTGTTGCAATAAAAATAATGCATTATCAAATTAAAAGTTTCGCAAATTTCGTAGTTTTAACTACGAAAATATTCAAATGAAAAGTTATTGTTTTGTTTTGAAAGTGTTTCTTTTACTCTCGACTCGTTATTTTAAAAGCGCATTCTTTTAAAATAAAAGTTGATCAACTTTCAAAAATACCTTTTCATAGCGATGTTTTTGGCAACACTTGACCTCCATTTGGCGCTAAATTTGAGTTGACGTCGATTGATGGAGGAATGGTTTTGGCTGGCTTCCATAGGAGTTTTTTGAGTATGGTAATTGATTCAACGGTAAGTTTAATAAACTACGAAACCATAATTGATGATGATGAATCTATTTATGAAACGTAACCAATAATTTCATCTCCACAGATCAACGTATTTAACTCGGTATTCAAGGCGCTTAGTGAAGAGCTCCATTCTGATCTTGAATTTGCTCATCTTCCGTGGGAATAATCTGACAACCATCTACTAAATCTACAAGCTGCATACAGGTATAGCTCCAATCACCCATAATTGCTAATTGTACCATTCTCAAGACTTGTAGATTTACAAGAAATAACTAAAGGTTTCCAATATTGATTTGTATCTTTCTAATTTGCAGTCTAAATACCCGGAACAGGTACCAGTTGCAGGATGAAGCATCCCATCAGCTGCAGTGGAAGTCTCGGAAACCGGGTAGACATAACTTGAATAACATATTTATAGAATATAGTATATACTATTAAATATTATCAAGAAATTAAAAATAATATAAATAATTAAAAAAAATATTATATTGAAAATGCTTGTTTTTAAATCGACAACATTTATTTTTCCTATTCAAAGTGGCACATTTTATTTACACTATATTAAACTTTCATGTCAAAAGCTTGTTTGAAACACGCTGTTAATTTAAATACTGCCATGCTTTCAATTTGACAGTTCTACAACTCGATTTGAAAGTTTCAACTTTTAAAAGTAGGGAGTGGGCAACTTTTGAATTGACAGTTAGATTACTTTCATTTTGAAAGCTACACAGCAAAAAAAATGTAATATCGATCAACGTAATTCAAGCTGATGTATGAAATAATGATGTAATAGCAAAAAGCAGATACAATATTACATCAATGGATGTAATTTTGTTCGCAAAATCGATGTACATCGTACAATGTGATATTACACAACCGATGGATTGACCTGGTTGCATCAGTTTCGATGTAATATTCAACAACTTTTTTTGCTGTGTAGCCGCTTTCTACCAAAAAGAACCAATGCAAACTTTTAATTTCACCAATGGTTTTTTTTAATTTTAATAATGATTATTTTTTGTGTGTACAAACAATCAATCACAATTCACTTAGTTAGTTTTGTGCCTTTCCGTTTATTTTTATCATGCTATTACCATTAATTTAATTTGTCTCCACCCTGCTTGTAGTCGAGTGATTTATAGAGTGCAGTGGTATGCACCGATTAAACTCAATAGAGACCTCCCGCGCCTTTACTTCTGCATTAATTTTTTTTATAGTTATAGTGTTCTTTTGCCCATTTTTTTTCCATTGACTTTCATTAACATTCACTTTTTCCATTTACTTGTGTCCTTTTTCCCATTTTTTTTCTGTATTGGCTCCCTTCACCAGTTTTATTGTCATAGATACCATTCACTTTTTCCATTGTTTTTTGTTATAGGGTCCTCTCGCCTTTTTTTGCTTATTTTTTTTTCTCTACAGGGTGCATTCACCCGTTTCATTGTCAAATATGCCTCTCGCTTTTTCCAGTTTTTTTTTTTTTAGGTTAATCTCGCCTTTTTTTGCTTATTTTTTTTCATAGGGTCCTTTCGCCCGTTTCATTGCCATAGGGACCTCTC